GTTTAAGCCCTGAAGATCCCCCTTTGCCAAAAAACTGTTCACCATCAGATATGTTTCTGAACACTTACAGCAGGTGTCAATTTTGCAGTCTTTCCATTTGGGAGTAGGCTGCGGGAAAGTTTCAGATTTCCTCTTTAATCTCCATCATCTCTGTATCTATTCTCCTGTGATATCATTACCCACTTTAATCCTTAAGAAGCACTTAGCCAATTTCAGCCTGAGACATTGTTATATTTCCTGTGGGTTAATGGAATTGGTGTGGAATTACTAAGGTGCTGCTCTATGGGAATCTTGAAGCATTTTTTTTTTAAATTTTTTTTTTCAACATTTATTTATTTTTGGGACAGAGAGAGACAGAGCATGAATGGGGGAGGGGCAGAGAGAGAGGGAGACACAGAATCGGAAACAGGCTCCAGGCTCTGAGCCATCAGCCCAGAGCCTGACGCGGGGCTCGAACTCACGGACCGCGAGATCGTGACCTGGCTGAAGTTGGACGCTTAACCGACTGCGCCACCCAGGCGCCCCATCTTGAAGCATTTTTAAGTGTGGTGTAGGGTATAGGGAAGTCCCTGATTCACAAGGAGAAGTATTTCATATAGAGAGCATGCAGTTCAAGAAGACAGCTTATTGGCTCCGAAGAACCTAGGCATCTTCAGGAAACACTCAGCTTTTTAGGTTTGCAAGATAGACAGAAGGGTCTTGTTTGATTGTCCCTGTGCCAGATTTTTGTTGCTTCCCTGTGGGAGAAAATGCAACAAGTTTGTACCATAGGTCAGCGCCAAACTGGAATCTCCAGCCCTAGTCCCAGTGCTTTTTGGTCATCCTCTCTGCTTCTGCCAAACAGTAAGGAGGAGGCCACAAGACATTGGTAACTGGGTCCTTCACAAATGGGTCTTTATTTTAAATATGATCTGGGTCCCAAGTATAGCTTTTGGCACTTCTGTCCTGCAGAGTTTGGATCCAAGCCCCTAAGACCACTCTCACATTCACAGTGGCATCCCGCCTTCCTTATTCTCAGAAGACAAACCTTACCTGCATCTGCAGTGAGATCAGTGTCACCCACTTTATCCCTTTGTTACCTTCTGACATGTGAAACAGCTCACATCACACCCTACTTTTCAAAGTAGAATGTTCCCCTCTATGCATGCATCTTTCCTTTTCTTCCTGTCTCAGAGCAAGAAATGATAGGTTGCCTTTTGAAGGCAGGGTGTATGTGCTTTCTGGGCTCCTGGCATCATGCCTTTTGGTCATTTGTACTCTTTTGCATCTTTTAGTGTCTCTCTTTTCACTAGATTCTTTACTCTTCCACAAATATGGATAAGTTTATCTTTTTTTATAACAAACAAAAAGAACACAAAAACTTTCATTGGTCTTGCTGTTGATTTAGACTATCTCTCATTAAATCACCAGACGAGCCCTTGTCATCCATCCATTTAAGTGTCCACCTGTCCATCCATCCAGTGAACATTTATCTGTGTATCCATCCAACATTAACTGAGTGCTTACTGTGACCTTATTATACACATTAGATAACTGAGCCCCAGAGAATCAAGAGAACCAAACAGAGTCACTTAACTTGCCATCATGAAGTGTATTTACGTTTTGAACTTTCAGCTAGATGGGTGGGCTACTTTTGATTTAAATGCCCAATTCAGTTGATGCTTTTTAGTTCTCATCTTACTTGATCTGTAAAATCTTTGGGGTGAAGCATGAGTTGGGAAAAAGCACTAGAGGGATTATATTTTTGAGACTATGAAATGGTAAATTTATATTTTAATTTTATAGTTATCAGATTAAAACCAGTTTTATTCCACTGTGACAAGCCCACTAAGCTTAAGCTTAAGCCCACTAATTTTACAATCTAACTTTGTTTATAAGGGCTCTGCTGTTTACATTGTAGGTTATGCACCAGAGAGAAGTATTCAAAGTGACACCAGATATGTGTGTGTTAAATAACACCATCTGCCCATTTGGATCTGTGCAGCTATTTAAAAATACTGTGGGGTGCTGGCCCAAAGCCTGTCATGTTTTGGGATAAGGGCAGGTTATTATGCTAGCCCCAGATTAGAAGACTTGGTTTGAAGTTCATGGCTGCAAGTCCTTTCCTACTTCTTTTTACTAGTTGTTCCTTGAATACATATTAGAGTCTCTGCCTAGGGTACTAGGCACTCTAATATGGTATAAAGAAAGATCATGATAGGTAAGAAGCCATCTACTGATGTGATACAACAGACCTGAGCAGACCCTCTTTTTCTCTCCAAACAGCTGCATGAATAACCCAGTCTTTACTGAGATCTGTTATTCCTGCATTAGAAATACTGGGTGGAAGGTCTGTCTCCTATTATAATGGAAATACCTCACCAATATGAATCACTTATACCTTAGGATGAATGTCCTGTTTGATAGACTACTTCTGTATTGATTCTAATAGCTAAGAAAGCAAAGGGACAGTAGAGTCAGAGGCATTGGGAAATTAAGATTTGGAAAGGGAAATGATTAGGCTACATCTGTGTTTCGATGCGCACTAGAGTTAGAAAAAGGTGTCTTGTTACAGGGCCCTGGTGAGATTAGGGGTACAGAGCTGGGGCTTCAGTCTAAACAGCTACTTAATTTGCTGTGTGACTTTGGTCATTCCTCATTCTTCATCTGTAAATAGAGACTGTACGTGATCCTTTAGGGTCCCTTTTAGTGCTGACATTCTGTGATTCTCCTGGAGAAACTGAGAAATCTAGAGTTCCAAGGTTTTTTGTTTTTTTTTTTTTTTTTTTTTTTTTTTTTTTTTTTTTTTTTTTTTTGTCTTGTTTTTGTGATGGGTATGGGCTATGTCAGGAGCAACCTGTGAGAAGCATTGTAATCTGTGGCATGGACTGGTAGTATCAGGGGCCACATCTGCATTATGTAACCCTGGAGCACAGCCTGTGCCTGGTGTGGAGCACTTCCTGCTATGTGACTGAATCAATGAACTAAGGCCTGGCAAGTGCCCAGGCAGCATAATATAGAAAGCAGAGCAAAGGCTTAGGGCAACGAAAGCTCTCCCCCACAGTGACTGAGAGCCATTGCCAGTTCTGTGCCCAGTGTTCTGGGTCCTTTGGAGCTTGTCTTCTCTTCTAATAAAGGCAAAGCCACGAATCTCTTGAGGGCTTTGTCTGGGGGTCAGGACTGAATGGTGAACAGTACCCTTTTTTCACAATGATTTCTAGGGCTTTCAGCCAACAACTTAGCAACAGACAAGAAGATGCTGTACTAGCCTGAATCACAGATAAGTGAAAGAGGAGTGCACCAGCATGTCAGGTATGCTGTGCGTGGGAGGCATGTACATCACCAATATAATAAATGGTAGCTTTGCTATTACTTTTGAGAACCACACATGCAACGGGCGCTGAGCTAGTTTCTTTTACATGGGGTTTGAAACTAGATGTTTTACCTGGGTGTAAAAATTGAGGAACCTTGAGAATGAATAATGAATATGATTTCCACTTTATAATAGAAGAAACTGATGTTCAAATAGATAAAATAACTTGCCTAAGGTTACAAACTCTCTGGACTCATGGTTTGTAAATTTACTATTCTTGAACTTTCTTCCTTCGTTAAGCAAGATCTCTTATTGCTAGCATTCCAAGTGTTATAGACTAGTCCTGTCCCTTCTTAGTTTTCATATCATAGTCTCCCCTGTCTGCCAGGTGAAATTACTTGAATGTCTTCACATGTGAAAATTCACATAGTCAGATGGGTAACTTTTTGGAATTAAATTAAACTCATGTTCTAGAATTGGAAACATTTGATTTGACTGATAGCTCCTTCTGATAATTCGTAGGTATTTTTTCTGCCTTAAAAGAGTGTGTGTGTGTGTGTGTGTGTGTGTGTGTGTGTGTGTGTGTGTTTAGTAGAGCAAATGAAAGACAACACTGATTTTTAAATAATAGCCCAAAGCCCATTCCAGAGTCGATAACAAAATCTTGTTCTTATGAAATAAGTAAGGATAAAGGTGATTAATTCTATGTTAGTTCCACATTCTGCATTATAAGAATATGGTATAGTTAACCCTGTGAGACTCTGGATATAGCTGATTCTTAAATTTCTTCTGTGTGATGATTTGTGGCTGCTTAAGGCACAAATCCCAAATCAGACAGGGAGGAGAGGAAAAGATGTGGGAGAGAGCAGCTTTGAATCATGGTGGGAGTGTTCACTGGAGGGACCAAGGGGCAGGGAAGCAGGCTTGGGGGGTGTCACTTGCTTTCCCAGTGCTTATAAGTCCTGATTGCAGCCTAGTCATATGAGTGTTATTGCTTCTTTCATTTTATTAATGAAAATTATTTCTTTTCTCCTTTGCAATTCATGGTACGTAATAATTGGTAAGCTGGTGAACTAGGAAACATTAATAGTGTTCAACAGATGCTTGTGCTTGTAAAGCACTTCTTAGCAAGGGGACATTGCAGAGTATCTCAGTAATTGAGTACCACCCATACAAGAAGTGGGATGCCTTTCATTCCTTCTGTAAAACCAGCATTTCTCTAAGGAAATACTTATTTTTAAAATACAAATAAAGTTTTGCTATCAAAATTTTTATGCAGGTATGGCTTTATCAGAATGTAAGGTGCCAAGAATTGGAATATTTCATAAACCGTATTTCTAAAACTTGCTTATTTGTATACATTTCTGGAGTTGTCTTTAGCTATGATGATTTTGTTATTAGAATATTCTGTAAATTTGGAGGAAAATAATATTGAGCAGCTCTTAACTGTGTTCTTTTATCCATGATTGTAGTTATAGATTTTCCTTGAAAGCCATTATTAAGTGGAGAAAACTACATTGAGAATTTAAAATGTAATTGGTGTTTTAATTTTATTAAACTTTAATGTTTAGAATAAATTAAGCAAAATTCTTGGAATAAAAAATTAAGTATTTAAGGTGGATGTAATTTGTAAATACAGCAAATATGTGTTCAGAAATCATGGACAGTAACAAGAACCATAATCACGTTTATTATTTTTCTATTCTAGATATTTGAATGGTGGTATTTTCGCAAGTATGGAACATCATTCATTGAACAAGTGTCAGTAAGCCACTTGCGCCCCCTCCTGGGAGGGGTTGACAACAACTCCTCCAACAATTCTAACTCCAGTAATGGGGACTCAGATTCCAACAGGCAAAGTGTCTCAGGTATGGAAAGTCCTTCGGTTTGAACATTATTTGCTTATTTTTACTAAATTATTATGACTATAAGACAGTATAATGCTGTTATTTAAATAGACTCTAGAGAAAAATGCAGTTTATTTTCCCAAGGAGTTGACAGCATCTACCAGAGAAGTAGAATATAAGCATCACAGGGAAAGGAAATATTTATTTTGTTTAGCTTTACCTTTTCTCCAGTTTGATTTAGCTAAGGATCATTCATTTAGGTCAGTGTTCCCAGCCTGGGTCTCCAGCCTCCTTGTCCCTAGTTTCTCAACCCTTACTGAATGTGTCCATTCTGTTCCATGCTAATTGCAGCTTATGCCTACCTAGATGTGATCACATCACTCCTTTGCTTAAAAGGCTTCCTCAGTTCCCGTTATACTGAAGAGAAAGCCCAGATTCCAGATTCCTTAGCATAGCATAAATAGCATAAGCTGCTTTCAACCTATCTTGCCAGCACTGGCTTCAGTCACAATCCTGTCCCTCTCATTTTCTTTCTTTTTTTTTTTTTTAATTAATTTATTTATTTTGAAAGAGACAGAGAGAGATCATGAACAGGGGAAGGAGAGAGAGAGATGGAGAGAGAGAATCCCAAGCAGACTCCCTACTCTCAGCACGGAGCCCGACATGGGGTTTAACATGGGGCTTGATCTCACAACCATGAGATCGTGACCCAAGCCGTTATCAAGAGTCCGACCCTTAACCAGTTGAGCCACCTAGGTTCCCCTCCTTTTCATTTCTTGAACATGCCATGTTTTCTCATGACTCTTTCCCTAAAAGTCTATCTCCCCCTCTCACGTGTTTGCCTGACTTTTGTAACCCAGCTCCAGTGTTACCTCCTGGGAAGCCTTCTCTGATGGGTTGTACAATATCTCTCCACCTTCACTGACTTTAATATTTTTATCTTTAGCAAAATTTATCAAATTGCACTGTAATGTTTTAGCTTACTGCTTTATTGCAGATTTTTTAGCACTTTGCACAGTGTCTGCTCCATCACTGAAACTCAGTGAATGAACAAATCAGTACAATCAAGGCCTGTAATTTCTCCATTCATAAAAGAAGAAGGAAGAATAGGATTTCCTAGCTTGGTCTCTTTATTAGCTTAGTAAACATTTCCTAAGTCCCTAATATGAACCTGGCCTTGTATAGGTTCTGATGAGTATTAGTGATTTTTAAAAAAGCCAAAGTTCTTGCCTTCATGGAACTCTTGTCTACTGAAGGAGACACAGTGGTAAGTGCTCTGATTACATGAGGGGAGCATACAATGCTGTGGAGAAAAAAAGAGGGGTTCCTGACCAAAACTTGGAGAAGAAGTTTGCTTTTTGAAGGGGAGCGCACCGGTTCTGATACTTGAAGGATGAAGAGGAAGAAATTAAAGAACTAGATTAGATCTTTTTTTTTTTTTTTTTTCATTCTCCTAGAGTAACTCAGTTCACATTTCATAACTCAGTCCACCTGTCTAGCCAGGTGATAATCATCAAGGAACATTGCACACATATTTTATTTCTGGTGTTGATCCAGTGCCCTTTCAATAGACCCTTTGCCAGCCAGCTGTGAGTGGCAGTGGGCACCACCAGGTACATGTTGATTTCATCCTAAAGGGTACATGTGTGAGAGATGGCACCACTCAGGTAGCAAAATTGTCTGGGACTTTGTCAACGTACCTACTTTGTGAAAGAAACAGAAAGAGAGCTGAGCCAAGTGAAACGGTAACCACCACTGTAACAAGTGTGGTGCATTATTGTAATGGAGGGTCTTGGTCACTTAGTCATCATCACATCAACAGTTGTGGATAACTGCCGTCACTTTGCATCTGCCATGAGAACCCAACAGATTAAATGTGCTCGGGTCTGATTAGAGTTACTATAATCTTGGAATGGTACAAAACGTAACAAATTAACAGATTGGAAGTGGAAAGCAGCCTCGTTTGAAGCCATTCTTCATTGTGAATACATTTTTATTTTCGTTAAAATTCTCTCTCTCCCCAATTTAAGTTTCTTGGCATCATTTCTTAGAGTTTACACTCTTCTTACTGTCACTATTATTTTGCTGTCTCTCTGTGGATGCCTTGAAGTAAGCCTTATGTATTATATAAGTCTTGATGGTATTCTTAGTGCTTTCATAGCAGTTTTTAGAGGAAGCACCTAAGCCCTTTATAAAAACATATTGAAAAATAATAATCATGATGGGGCGCCTGAATGGCTCAGTCAGTTAAGTATCCGACTTCACCTCAGGTCATGATCTCACAGGTTATGAGTTCGAGCCCCATGTCAGGCTCTCTGCTGACAGCTCAGCCTGGAGCTTGCTTTGAGTTCTATGTCTCCATGTCTCTCTGTCCCTCCCCACTCACACTCTGCCTCTCTCTCTGTCTCAAAAATAAATAAACATTAAAAAACATTTTTTTTAAATCATGGAAATTCTCAGTTTTATTTGTACTGTGTTTTTACATGGCTAAGATTGAGTTTTTGACTATTTTTAATTCAATTCCAGTAGTATTTGTTGAATATCTACCATGCATGCAATATTTCTATTCATTTCCTCTATAATAGATACAGCATTTATGATCTGATCTCATAACAATGTTTAAATAGTTACATTTAGAAAAGTGGAAATTACCTTGCCTAAGTATATTTGGGCTCTGTCTGCCCACTTCTCCTTGACATTTTAGCTAAAATTTGGCTAACTCAGCTCAACAAACATGCATGCTGGTATGGAAGTATCAGATATAGTGGGACTGATACTATTTTCCAATTCTCTTTTCCTCTGGTGATTTTTATTTTTGGATAAGAACAATATTATTAAAGTACATTGTCTGTGTTTATCTCTACTCTTAGTCACTTTCTATTTCATAGTCTTGTTTCAACTAAGTAAAGGAAAAAGAAAGTCCAAAACAGAGGGTAATCAATAATACATTTTCTTAAAATAAGGAATTTGTTTAGAAATCCTATCCCTTAATAATAACAAAATGGCTGTTGCCTTAATAATGAATAGGTGAATCTTTTGATTTTATTGGATCATGACAAGACAACTCTTTGCTGAATCTTACAAGAAATACAACATGGCTGACAAAGTCCTATGGATATTGGCAAAGGCAGTTTAATTGCTTATTTGAGAAAAATCATTGTAAAAGCTAAAAATAAACTGAAAATACCAGTGATAAACATTGGTCTATATTAAGACTCATAGTGTATATTATACACTGTGTATATACGTACATACATACATACATACATACATACATATATAGTGTATGTAATATACATAGTGTATATTAAGACTCATAGCTCTTTTCTTAAAGAATCGTTTGTTTTGGTTAAAAGCTGAAAGACCTGGCCTACTTAAGAATGGTTTGGAGTGGGAGAGGTGGGGGGGAGAGGGTGAGAGGGTTATGATTGTTACAGGGCAGGCTATTTATATCTTATTTAACTTTGTATCTGTACAAAGTGGCCTGAGTGCATACTCTTTTAAAATTTGTAGTTATCTTTATCTGTGGGTCAGAGAAAAAATGTAGTTAATTATATAACTTCTTAATGTAGCCAAATTTTAGGTTGTTTGGCTTAGGTTAACATTTATGAATATTTCACTTATTTCTCTTTTTTTGGGAGCTAACCTGCCATTTTTCTTGATAAACCCTGCTGATGTATTTCCCACATCACTATGTTTCTCACTGCCATTTCTTAATTCAACTCAGCTTATGATCTGATGATAGGTAAGGACTTAAAGTGTGGCTAACTTCTCCCTGTCTTAAGGGGTGTAGGTTCTCAGGGACTGGTAACATTTTGAATTTAGGTTCATGGGAACATCTGTTTGATAATTTGCCCTGTTCTTGAGTACGGTGCCATAAAGACAAAGGTTTGCAGCATTCACCTTCAAGATATTTAGAAAAATTCAAGGTGCTTCATCACATGAGAAGTATCCTTGCCAAAGTCAAGTTTAAATTCTCTGAGGGGCTTTAGTATCCTCTTGCACAGAGCTGTATCTTTAGACAAACTCTGGTTATAGTTGCTTGCCTTCCTGTCTAAAATCATTTCATTTTAATCTCATTTAATCTTAATATATATCTTATATATGTACATAATATGTATGTGTCATATATGTATCTTTTATGTAAAACTTTTTATAAGATTTTACTTGGAATTCTAAATTAAAATTCATTACATTGCTAGAGGCAGTTCAAGCAATGATTAAATCCAGGTAATAAATTAAAGAAAAACAATGGAGATGAAGAAACTCAGGTAGAGTGCAAAGATATCCTGAGATCTTCATAGATCTTCAAATTTTCATAACACCAGAGCAAATAATTCTCCTTATAGAAAGCCATATAATTCTAATAATAATACCTCCACTCTTAGTGCCTACTTTCCACTTTACATTATTATCTCATTCAATCCTCACTATAGCCCTGTGAAGCAGATACTATTATTATCTCCATTTTATGGTTGAAGAAGCTGACATACAGGCAAGTTAAGTCATCTGCCCAAGGTCACAGGGCTGGCAACCTAGGTGGTCTCACTTCACAGTCCAAAGTCTCAAGCACTTAGCTAAAAAGTTCAGTCTAGATCCTCTGTGAGGTCTATAAAGTCAATACTAATGTAATTACTGAAGCATTAAAATAAATAAATTCATTAAAAACCTGTACTGTGGTACATGACATGATTTCAGAAGTGACATTAGCCAGATTTACTTAGAAAAATCTCAGTGGCAGGATTGCTGATGGTTGAGAGCTCAGGCTCTGGGGTCAGACAGATGTGGCCCTCATCTCAGCTCCATCACTTACAGTGTGTGACCTTGGGCAAGTTACTTAACCTTCCTTGGTATCTTAATTTGCATATGTGGGAATAACAACAGTATCTACTTCACAAAGTAGTTTGAGGAGTCAATGAGGTCATGTAGAAATAACAAGTCAGAGGACAGCCATCTGTCAGTGTCCTCCAGATGAACTGAATATGAATGATGAATTCCCCATCTATGAATATGATGGGGAAGATGGCTCAGTCTCTGGAGATATGGCTGTGGGTTCAGTGAGGTTTACTCCTTAGCTCAGTGACTCACTTTTATGCCCAGGCCTTTCAGTGCTTGCATTTCAAATATATCCCTGGCAAAATCGCAAATTGCCACATCCAGGACCTTTGGCATTGCTCTTTAGTCGTCTCAATTAGAGAAAACTCAGTTTGTCCTTGCCATGTCTATGCAGGTGTTGGAAATGATTCTCTTAGCCAACGCTTATTATATCTTTTAAAATCTTTTGCCACTCAAATTTGTGTTGTAGTATAGATTTGATCTCTATTTGAATGGTGAAAATGCCTAAAACAGTTTTAGTCTGTGGTGAACATTTATTTAATAAATTTATTTCACAATTTCCACATTATTTGGTCAAGTTGATTGGCTTAAGTCAAAAATGATCAATGAGAAATGTATGAAGATACAATAAAGATTTAACCATTTTAGCAATACTTGAAGAAAATAGTACACTATCTTGAATAGAGCAGATCAATAAAAATGGCCTTGAAACTCATCATTATTTATACCATTTCTGATTCCATAGAATTAGAGACAATAACATATTTGTTGAGTTGAAAGCTACCTACATGTTACTTTGTGCGTTTATATTAATTTTTTCAAAATAATTATTTTAAAACTTATGAAAATAAAGCTTAATTACTTAAGCAAATGGCTATTGTTACTGTTAAGGATTAAGATTAGCCTGTGTGATGTAGAAAACTGGGTATTCATTTCTGAGACATAGAAGCTAATAAATACATGGCAGAATCATATATCAGCTTGGGATTAATCTTGATTGCCATAATACATCTGATTAAACTTTATCTAGAGCCTTTTTCTGTTGTACTTTGGAAACTAAAATGTTTAAAAGTATTGCTAAAAAGTGCTTAACATTTCCCCAGAGGAGTTTTCAAAACTGTTTTGCTAGTGGAAAATTTAATTGATGAAGTCATAGGATTTTTGAAATATGATGTTGCAGGGTAACAAGTCTGTTGCATGTAGTGGGTGGTTGTTAGACAGTCTGGACACCGGCCCTTAATCTAATTTGCTGTGAGCCATGGGGAAATTATATAGCTTTTCTATGCTTTACTCTTCTGTAAAAAGGGCCTACTACACGCCGCTAACAATTGTAAGGAATATAGATGACTTGAGCTTTAAAACCTCTTAGAGAAAGGCTCAATGAAAATCAAGCTTATAGCTATGACAGAAGTTGTTGTTGCTACTGTTTATAATAATAATATTACCATCATTAGATTTTAGATTCTGGGAAGAGGTGGTAAGTTTTTAGTATAATAAATTTTCCTAGGCTATGAATTAATAATTTATATATTTGAAGGCCCTGGGAGTGGGGATTCTATATCTTTTTTTTTTTTAACTTTTAGAAAATAAAGATTTTCAGAGTTAAATAAGTTGGATGTAGAGTAATATTTTCTTCTATGTGAATAAAAGCCCCATGACTTCAGAGCCTCTTGGTTTTTCTGAGAATTAAGTTCTCTTTTTCTTTGAGGACTGTGACAAAGGGAAAGTCTGTGATTCTGTCAGTACATTGTTCTTTCTGTAGAGCTTCTTCAGCTGTATGCCCTTTTTATTTTTCTCCCAAGGCCATAAGCTCCTCTTGTTCTGTAACCAAGGACCTGGCAAAGGGACTAGTGCATCATAGCCATTCTATTTATGTTTAAACCACACAGTCCTTTGAGTGATGGGGTGAGCACTCTACAGGGGTAACTGAGTACAAAAGGCATGAAATAACGATCACTGAGATGGAAAGTTTTAGTAGGGAATTGTGAGAAGGAAGACTGAAGAAAAGATTGCAGCTTGATTTTAGAAGTCCTTGATGGCAGTAAGCATTACTTTCTGTGTTCTTTGTCTCCCACATAAAAACTTACATAACCATCCCATTATCACAAAGTGGGGGGGGGGAATCTATTGTGCAGACTTGGGAATTAAACAAGTACTATTCCAATATATATTGCTTCTCTTCCTCCTGAACTGCATTCTTGCATGCATGCTGAGGTCTGAACATTTCTGTCTGCATTTGTGGATAGAGACTCTTCTGTACTGCTACAGATGGAACCATAGGGAGTATGTTTATTGTACTGGGGCATATTTTTAATTGAGCTAGTAATATCAGCAAGTCCTTGATGGGGTCTCTGTCAACTTCTAGGGCTTCTAAAGGGCACTGAAATTGTCGATATTAATGGAGAATGCAACATTCCTTTTGGAGGTAAAATTTTAATTCTGATTTAAATAAAGAATTTATTTCCCAAAGACATGAATAAGATAAGAAACAGGACCTCATGTGGAAAAACCTTTATCCTCTGGATATCTGAGTTTAACTCTTGACTTAAATCTTCACATTCTAATACAGTTGGCATTTGCAACTTTTGTCGGTATCACGAAACCATCAAGCAGTCTGATATTTATGGGGTATGTGCTCTATAGTGATTCTAGGCTGAGAGAGTTTTTGTAGTAGTGATAAGATTATGAAACAGAGTAGCGAAGAAGAAATTAACATAGCTATGACCTAATTCCAGGTAAAACTTTGACATGGTTCATATTTGACCTCTAGATCGCATATTTCTTTAAAAAATTATACCTGTTTTGCACCAATTTGAAGGAGACATAGCTAATGAAGGATATAACTAATGAAGACATTTCTTAGGTAGTTCTGTATCACATATTTTTTCTCGAAATATTTTACATCTGTTAGTTACTTAGATCCTCATTTCTAAGTTTCAGGGATACTTGAAGAAGCAATAGACCGTATGTATGACACTTAATGTCAACAGTGACCCTTTAAGAAGTTCAGTTCTGGAATAGAATCCATAAAAACATTTCAAAATGTTTGTAGCACCCCCTGCTGGCTATATTGTGGCACTTCCTAAACGAAGATTGCATCTTTAGTTTTGCTCAAAAATACTTTAGGTACATACACCATGTCTCTTTGCAGTTAATTTTATTTAGAAATAATTTCATTTGTATCCAATATATAATAGTGTTGAAATTTTAACTGAAGGTATTTTGGTTGAAAATTTTTCAAATGAGTATTTGAACAATGCCAATATAATAATGTATTCAGTGGAGAACAATTATTTGCCCGTAACCTTTTTACTAATATTTCAGATGAAATTCAGTGGGGGAGAGGCATCTCCCCAAATGTTCCTGTTTTATTGCAAAAAATGTCACCATGGGCAACCTCTGTACTATCTGTGTACATGTTTGTTATATGCTAAATACAAACCTTGCAATATTCATGAAGCTTTAATTGGACCGCTTTGGATCTTGAAAGACATCCTTTGAGGAAAGGGTGGGAGTGATGAGGACCTAAAAGTTAAAATAGCCTTAAGGGCAGAGATCGTATCATGGTTGTTTGGCTCACCGGTGTGATTCTGTGATTTGAGCCATAATCTGGAGTTCATTAGTGACCCCTCCCAGCGTCTTACATCTGTAAGAAAAGTAATTATTTAAGAAAAGCATAATTTTCTAGTTAGTGCCATATGAAGTGACAGCTACAGAATTTCAGTTTCTCAGGAACAAAATTCAAAGATGCTGAATTAATTGAACAAAGATCATTTCCTAAATGGTGAGTTAAGCTAAGTGTCAGAAAATTTAGGGCTATAGTTTATAAACATTGTGCAAATTTTAGGCAGGCTCCAGCCCTAATTTAAAGATATATTTATCTTCTTTAAATAAAAACATATCTTCCTGTTATGTGTACACCCTTCATTCACTATTTTAACAAAAATATATTGAGATTAGACACAGTGTTGCTATAGTGTTTTATCTTCTTCATTTTCATGCTGTATTGTAATAGATGGTTTACTTGTTTGTTTTTCCCATTGAGTGCTCAATGCTCATTGGATGGATGGATGGATAGATGGATGAGTGAGTGGGTGTGGAAGGATGGATGTTGCATATAACAGGCATGAGGATAGAATCTTAATGAATCACCCTTTAATGCTCTTTCGATTTCTGCAATAATTGCTCACTTTTGTGTGTCCATGTCTTTGGGTGTGTTTTTTGGCCGATTACGCACACAGAGATGTTTTAAGTACTCTTAACTTATTTTATTTTCTAATAAAACATTATTCACTCAAAGAAATGTAGTATTCTGAATCAGTAGAAAGTCTTAATCATAGGCTGTTTAAAAAGAATTATAGCTTATTAGTCACACACTTATAAGACAGTCTTAAAAACTAATGATTGAACCAAGTCCTGTGGTTCTAAATTTCTGTGGTTTTTGTGGAAGAAAGATGTATAATCTATTAGTATATGCTAGAATTCTAATATTACTATAATGATTAATCCATGTATCTGTATAAGTAAACAGTGTTATTGCTTTAAAACAATTTATTTTCATAGCATTTCTCTCTAAAATAATAACTTTATTCGTTTTCTTATCTCTGTTTTATGGCAGTGTAAAAAGTAATCTGGTGCTTTGTCACAAAATCAGTATTAACATAGACCCTAATTAAATAACTCCATATTATACTCTAGAGCTTAAGTTTAGCTTACAAGTATACCTTGTACCTGTAATTTCAGAAGTAAATTTATAGAATCTGTGTAGACCTTGTGAAATGACTATTGAAGTTATGAACTAGCTGATGTTGGCATATACCTTGATTTAGCAAATGAGGAAACTTTGGCCCAGAGAGATTAGGGAGAACTTTTCCAAAGTCCTGGTTCCTGAGCTTTGTTTCCTGATCAACCACTCAGAGTTTTTCCACGTTGCTTCCCATGTAGAGGATGGAGAATAAAATTATCTTATCAAATGGCCAGGAAGGGTGTTTTGCTGAATTAATTAGCTTGTAGTGTGTCTGGACTCTGTGTAACATTTTCATATTTCTCTTTGTTGCAGAATGCAAAGTATGGCGAAATCCACTGAATTTATTTAGGGGCGCTGAATATAATCGGTAAGTGTTTTGACAGCTTGGGAAACAAATGGGTCTAGTTCAGAGAGTAAAGACAGCAGCAAATGTTTTTGCTGGTTCATTTAGGGGTCATTGTAACAGTCTGTGTAGTGCTTCTATTTTTTGATACAATCCTCAAATGTTTTGATTTTTCTGTTTTATAGTTATTTGGGGATTAGAATTGGGATGATGTACAAAAATGTGTAGTTTTTAGAAATTTTCTATTACACTTATTATTTTCATTATGCATTATACAATCAAAATATTTTGAAGCTTACCTAGAGCATGGTTATAAAGATGTCATAGAAATTTTGTTGGAATTTAATTTTGCAAAGTAATTAGGCATATCAGAATTTTCATGGCTTTTGGGAAATGCCTATTCATAAGAGTAATGAGGGAAAGTTTTCATTAGCTAGTGCTAGTAAAATTTTTAGAGAAAAATATAGGGGAAAATGTTTACTTGTTTCCTGCTGATAGACCTCCTAAAGGGAGAACAGGATGATTAAAAAAACTTTTTTTCATTCATTGGCAAAACTGTTTTGTACCCAGTTAATGTTTTATATTCAGTTTCCTATGCAGCTTAATATTTTGTAGGTCTTGCTTTCCAAGTGTCTGACCATCTATTTCCCCTTTACCAGGTACACTTGGGTGACAGGACGAGAGCCTCTGACTTACTATGACATGAATCTCTCTGCCCAGGACCACCAGACGTTCTTTACTTGTGACTCAGACCACCTGCGTCCTGCAGATGCAAGTATGGACACTCCTTTAGATAGTTGCTGAGTGGGAGGGCTTTTGATTTAAGTACTAAGGTTATTGCTTTTAGAATATCTGCTCTACACCCCCCCGCCAGTGAATAAATTATTAAATTGGAGATTGGCTGGCAGAACCCAGAATTCTGGTACTTAATTAAAGGATTTATCATGATGAAGTATCAGTGTAGAAATGAGTCTTCTTGTTATGATTTAAAATACTATTTAAAAAATATATAGTAACATTGGATTTACATAGTTCTTTTTTTATTTTTTAAATATTAAATATAATTTATTGTCAGATTGGTTTCCATGCAACACCCAGTGCTCATCCCTAAATGCTCTCTTCAGTGCCCATAAATCTGATATGAAGCTAATTAAATCCTTGATTGAGGTAGAATGAAGGGTCATGTCTCTTCGATGATATTGTAGTTAGAAATTAAGATTTAGTGAATCCAAATGATAAATGAATATATTGTAGTGATTTGTATGCCTATTTATAGGTTCATTAGCAGTGAATGGGGTCATGGCCTTAGCTATTAGAATCCATATTTGTTTATCAACCTGGAAAGGGCTTTGTTTGGCATGCATTTCACTTGGTTTGAGATCTAAATAATCCTACTGACATTTTTTATATTGCCAAACTTAAATAGGTGAAAAAAAAATCTTTAAAAAGAGGAATGTGTACATGCACCTGAAAAGCTAACTTCAAAGATACATATTGATAAAACAAGTATGGAGATTGTTGCTCTTTTTAAAAAGGTACTGTTTATCGTGGTAGAATATCATAGTCCAATAAATATACCAGGCATTGAGCTTTGCACAGTATATACACAAACTGCTCTGGTATCTAGAAACTGTGTTTGCAGCAAACTTTGGGAACAGATACACATATTAAGCAAAAGACCAAACCACTTTTTTTTCTGATCCAACTCATAATTCTTCATATGGTTTTACAGAGTCCTAATACCCAGAGCCTATAGTGTTTGGGAAAATGAACAATAGAACTTATGTTGTGCCTAAGTAGAAGGAAGAGATTAGTAACAATCTCATATAAAAATGTGTAAAATATGTTTCTTAATGACAAATGACATTAATGAACAAAAGAAATATTAAATCTCTTTTAGAATGTCTTTTCCTTTCTTGATTAAGGGACCTTAACCAGTGCGGTGAGCATAGCATAACGTGTAGACTTGGCAAATCGTTGTTATCCACTTGAAACTACTGTAACATTGCGTGTCAACTAATACTTCAGTAAAAAAAAAGAAAATCAAGATTAAACCTCTAAGATTATAGACCATGGGTTAATCTATAAGATTTAGACCTGTAGTATTAAGAGCACAAGAAAGGTTTGCTATCATCGAAGGAAGGAGAATGGAATAGCACATTAGAGTGTATTTGTGTGATTTTGGAGATTTGGGCTCACCTCCTTAGTAAGTGAAATATTCTCTTGTATTCAAGCTGAAAGCTATTAATTTAACTATTGTCCTGTGGTGAGTCTTCTAATTATGTGTGTTGATGGACATGCTTTTTTCCTCTTTTTGTAAAACAGTAATGCAGAAAGCCTGGAGAGAGAGAAACCCCCAAGCTAGGATTTCTGCAGCTCATGAAGCCTTAGAGATAAATGAGTAAGTGGGGGACAAATCTTGCTTTTAAAAAGGAAATTTCATCCTTTGCTGAATGTATTCAGTTTTCATTAATGGTATACTTATATTAAATTATGCATTTGAACTTGAGGATTGTTTTAGGGGTTATTAATTTGTAAAAATTTTTTTTTTTTTTGCGAAGGACATCCATGTGATGGTGGTCTTAGTCATTTTAGAGAGCAATTCAGTGGCTTTGCTATGACCCTAACTTAAATAGCTTCCAAGGGCTATTTAGCCCTTTAAGGACTATCTGTGGGATATTGCAAGGACATAAAATAAAAACAGTTCTTTACATAACTATAACATGGGGAAATTTTTTCAGATGTAGAATGCTCATCTGTGCCATCACATTTTTTAGGTAGATCTTCTGCTTGTGGGGAAAAGATAACAAAAACATAAGGTGAAAAAATTACACTTTTGAAGTATTTCAAGATCAAGACAAAGATAAGAGGAAATGCTGTCATTAGTGTTGTTAAACATTCTGTGGGTTACCAAGGAAGGCTGGGAAATATTCTGGAGATCTTAGAAAATGAGAAAGATTCTTAAAATTGAAGTCATAAAATCTCAGGGTTGGCAGAGACCTTAAAGGTCATTTAGCTCAACCACCCATCTGGTGCTTGAATCACCTCGACATTCTCCCTGCCAAGTGGTCATTGTTAAACTATTTTATGATTTTTTTTGAAGAAAGTTACAGATTCTTCTTTGGAGGTCTTAGAAAAAAGATTCACTTGAGAATTGGAAATCCTGCCATTGTAACCTGTTGATCTGTTTGGTTTCTGATTCTGCCATACAACATATTTATTTTCCAGTTTCTTGTCATCTACAAATTGGATATGCGTGCCTTCTGTGTGTCATCCATGTTTCTGATAGAAATGTCAGGCTCAGGGGTGGAACCTTGTGACATGGCATATAGAAACTGTCCTTCAGGTTCATGTCTTCATGAGTCATCATCCTTTGGTATCAGTCAACCAATTAACTAGGCCACCCGGTTAACACTGTGATTCAGCTCACGTTTCTGCATTTTGATCTTAAAAGTACCAGTTGTAGCTATGAATCTTTAATGTATAGTAAATCCTTTAAAGTAAATTAAGGTAGCACAACCTGATTTAGTTGTTCTTAGCGGATTTAAGTGTTCACCACTTTCTTTTAAAAATGCTTGGAGACCATCCCTTTAATAATCCATTAGAATCTCTTTCCAAATCACTGTTCTGTAGTTTGGGAAGTCTGCCTTCTTCCCCTTTTGAACATTTTTACTACATTTGTCATCTCATCTTCTAGCACCTGTCCATTCTTTGTGATTCCTTAACTATTCACAGAGAGCACTTCCATGGCCTGACTACAGGGTCTGTTGGCTTCCTGGGATTTACCCATCCCAGTACAGTAATTCACTTAGAATTGATCAGTTATTTGCTATCTTACGTCTTTTTTACCCCCATGAGAGTTTAATTTCTTCTCCCCTTTTCAGCCTGACAATCATGCTCCTTGATGGAGAAGCCAGGAACAAAATAGAAGTCAGAGAGTTTTGCATTCTCTTTATTATCTGCTGCTACTAACTATAAACTTTTCTTGTTTTGATGTGGTTGTTGTGTTGTTTGTCTTTTTTGCTTATTTATTTTTGCAATGGTTTTAGAGAAATGGGGGTGGTAATAGGGTTTTAAACATAATTTTAAAACAGGGAATAGATGGTTGTCTTTAGCATTTTGTTTTGTCTTTATTTTGCTTTGCAAGCTTCAGGTAATTTTTGGAGTTTTAGCTCTCCTGACATTATTCTTATAATTTCATTCCACTCTCTTGTAGTCCTTCATTACATGCCCTCTTTCCATCTTTTTTACATGTCCTTTAAACATCTGACCTTGTGAGAGATCTCTGTGCAGCCATATTGATTACTTAATTGTCACCTCTCTTTTCTTCCTGAGAGGTTCATTTGTGACTACAGTTACAGGTGGACATTTGGAAGCTGCCCAACCCTCTTAAACCATTTTTTTCCTTCGGAGTCTCATGCCATTGAATCATATCTCTTTTCTTTGAAGTTTTTGAAGTCCACCTTACCCTCTTTGATTACCCGTAAACTCCAAAATGACATAGTAACTCTCTCTGAATGTTCCTATCAATTTTCATTTCACCAACTATTTTTTTCTTCTTGGTCAGAATTAGGTCCAGAGTTGAAGTTCCCCTAATTGCTTCCTCTACCATCTGGGAGATAAAATTGTTACCAAAGTAAGTCAAGAACCTGTCGGGTGCCCTACTTCTAACCAAACGAGACTTCTTCTAGCAGATATCTGGATGGTTGACACCCCCATCACCATACTTTCTTGCTTCTGTATGTGTATTGTGTTGTGACAAGGATGCATCATCGATATCTTCCATTGAGCTGAGCAGTCGTTCTGTACTCCCCAACCATTAGCACTTCTATTGCTCTTTCTCCTTCACTCACAAGCTCTTAGCATGTTTCTACCCCAGACTCATGACTTTCCACATAGATACATGTTTTCTTGGCTAGTAGTGCTACTCTGCCTCTCCTAAGAATACTATTTGAAATGTATATAAAGCAAGCAACTTGCCCCAACCTATCTTGAATTCCCAGCCCACCAACTATAACCTTAGAGCTAACTCCTCTGATACTATATCTACCACTCAGTATTATAATCTCAGTTTTCACTTCATTACCCTTGACCCATATTTATATGTCAGCATCTGAAGCCTTAAGTATTGCTTCCTGATGCCTATCCCCCTATCCCCGTTATTTTCTGTAGTGAATCACTGGGCAGTTTCAGGATCATTATTGTTCTTTCCAAGTCATGTATCGGCTGCCCTCCATAGTAATTGGTTTTTACAGCATTTTTCTGGGCATTTTTCTCCCTCGTACACCACATTCTGCCTAAAGCCCCATTGATTAGTCCTGCATGAAATTAAAGGGATTGGCTAAAGAATTTATAAGACCCCTCCTCAAGGCTAAGATTAACCAGTAACCCCAAACCTCCCATTAGCTGTAAGTTCAGCCTCCTTTTCCTAGCTGGCTGTTGCAGTTTATGAATGGTAAAAGCAACATTTGGTTTCACTTTCTGTTTATTTTCTCTCCTGTGGTCTGATGGAGGTTCTGATAAGTAGGGAAATGACCACAAGAGGGGCAGTGGAGATGAAGGAAAACAATGGGATCGGTGCAGATCGGGACCTGTACGGTCTTCTCTGGCGTCACCATTTCCTAATTACATTCCCTTTCTTTGGCAGTTGGGTTGTTCTTACATGATTGGGAAGGTTTAAATTTCCAAGAGTTCCCGTGTTTGTTAGTTAACTGCTTATCCTTTCTGGCTTCCTAGCTTAGAGGTTGTTGAAAGGATTAAATGAGACGATATATGTTAAGTGCCTGGTACAGTGCTTAATGTATACTAAGCAACAGGTGGTAGCTATTATTGCTAAAGGCGTGAGATTTAACTCTTGATCACTACTGAGGCTGACTCAGATTTTGAGCTCTTCAGAAACAACACTACCTGTAGGTTCTTCCAGTGTTCTCTGGCAGAACATCAGTGCTAACTGTAATGAGATGTTGAAGCGCTGTTGTCTTAATCAGTAATTTATCTGATTTAATGAATTTCTCATTCTGAAGAAACCCTTATATTAAAGAGAATCAGTGTTTAGTAAATAGCAGTAAACTTATATATAGGATCTCTAACTTTGAGAGCTGGAAGGAGATATTTCACAATAGCTAGTATCATTGCCACTGTCAGTTGACGTTGATTATGTACCACATGCTGGCTACTGTACTGAGCACTTTACATGCATCACCTTACTTAACCTTCACAACAACAGTGTGAACAAATAGATTCCATGTTGTTCTCCATCAGGGAGGCAGAGTAATAACTTGCCCAAAGTGACATACTAATAAGGGGCAGAGTCCATATGTGAGCCCCAAGCTCCTAACACTACACATCCTACCTTTCAAGCTAAAATACAGACATTTCTTTTGTGCCATTATTTTGTGTCAACAACTACAGACCAGGGGTGCATGAACCAGTTGGCCACTCTGCATGTTTTTGGCATAACTCCTTGCCCTTCTGCATGTACTCCTACAGCTATTCCAGTGTCCTTGGATTTGTAATTGATGGTGGCTATTATCTGAATGGACAGGTGTGCAACTGCTTATATTCTCTTGGCTGAAGAGGAAGCAACAACCATTGCTGAAGCAGAAAAGCTGTTTAAGCAGGCCCTGAAAGCTGGAGATGGCTGTTACCGGCGTTCTCAGCAGCTACAGCATCACGGATCCCAGTATGAAGCCCAACATAGTAAGGTTTTCTCCAGGTTGACATGATGGGAGATCAGAACTGTAACACGATTAATCGGAACAAACTTTCAGGCCAGTTCAAAACAGGATTCTCATAGATGAGAATAAATATTAATTTTTGCCTTCTTTAAAAAAAATTTTTTTAACGTTAATTTAGTTTTTAGACAGAGCATGAGCAAGAGAAGGGCAGAGAGAGAGGGAAACACTGAATCCGAAGCAGGCTCCCAGCTCTAAGCTGTCGGCACAGAGCCTGATGCGGGGCTCAGAACCCACAAACTGTGAGATCATGACCTGAGCTGAAGTTGGACGCTTAACCGACTGAGCCACCCAGGTGTCCCTTTGCCTTTCTTCTTAATAATTTTTTTTCCTTTCCATAAGAGCACAGTACATAATTATAGCTTTATTGCTGTTCACTTAATGTTCAGATTCTCTTTCCTGCTCTTGAGATTCTTAACTCCAGAAATAAATGGTAATAACCTTTAATGATAACTTTCTCCCAAGAATTCTTATGTATTTCTCTGTTTATTAGTTGTTTCTCTGCCCCATAACTTAAGTTCTAGTTGGGAAACAGGACTTAAATTCATGTTAATGTAATCAAAGGTTTTCTCTTAGGAGTCTTCTACAGCGTGGGTTGAAATAGGACAACTAAGATCACCGTTATTGGTGATTATCTCAGTATTTAGCCCTTTGGTATTGGCTTCCAGAGAGAAAAAGCCATGGGTTCATAATTATTTCTCTTTCTTATATTAAAAATAGTGGCTGCTTTTGTTTAAGATAACTCTTTAAAATGAGACCTTTTACTTTAGTACACTAAACAGAGGGTCAGTGATATTTTGGGGGGATGGTATAAAAAAACAAGACAACAAAACTGTTTCTGGAATTCCTTGAGCCACTTGACTTGTCAGTTTGTTGGTTGTTTAAGTAGAAATGTAGCAATCCTTTCATTGTCCATTCAGACTTCAGGTTGTTTCATTAAGGTGGAGTTTCTCCCTCCTGCATCTTGGGGAGTAGGATTGCATTGCCTTCATATTTGAGATTATAAAATTAAATTTTAGTGCTAAACTTGTATTTGACACAGAGACTGAGTGCATTAGTCTTTATAACTAAGTTACAGTGAGATCTTTGATTTTTGTGTGTATACATGAGTATGTCCACACAACACAATAATACACAGGTTTTTTTTTGTATTCAGTAAGTATATTTATTTATAAGCAGTAGGTATATATGTTAATCAAGTTTCTAATCACATCTGTATCTTGCTTTTTAAAAAATTTATAAGAATGAACTTTGAAGGCATGTGTATAGTAATGTCTATTTTCTGAACTAAATGAGAATTAACACATAACATTACATAAACTGTAATATAACTTAAGAAATTTTCTTTATTCCTTTTTTTCTGTAAATTAAATCCTTTCAACCTGTTGCCTACATCTATCCAAAAAATATAATCACATCTTTAAAATAATTTGTAGGCACTTGGCAAATTTTCAGCACACATCTTGTTCTCATTGTTTTAAAACTTGAAATGTTAGGACTTTGGTCTTAACATCTTTTAATAGCTGCATATTATACATGTACTTAATCTATAACAGGTGTGTCATATTTTTCTAAAACATGGTAATTTTATTGAGGATTAAATGAATGCATGTTCTCACTGGTTCAGAAACATATCCAAAAAGACATATAATTAAAAGATTAAGATGAGAAGTTGTTAATGTACTTTTTAGTGCCATTTTAGTGACTATTACTGTAACTAGTTAGCTTGTCAATGCTTTCTGTAACACTAGGGTAGTTTTTCATCTTGTTACATACTCTATTGTCATATCTGGAATGTGTTATATTGCCATCTAAAATAGACTGCTTTGGGGACCTGGAGATGATTATGATGTCACTAGTATTAGGGAAAGAATAATATAAAACAGAAGTTCAAGATGAGGCTTCTCCAGACTTAATGTCAAGCAGGAAAAAAAAAAAAGTTGATCAAGATGCAACCTGAGATTCACCTCTTTGCATGTTCAGCAAAAGCATGCAAACTGAAGAATATGGAATGCTTGCTTGTAAACCACATTCAATATGGGTATGCTCATTTCCCCAGCACTTTGTGGCAGATGATTTTATTTATCAAATATTCAACATCCTAACTCAAAAGTATGGATTAGGTAATCAGTCACATGATTTGACCTTTGGAAGTCTAAGTGCTTTGACTACACTGTATGCGTTTTACTATTAGCAAACTCGTCAGTGCTCCTGGCAGTAAGAAAAAGCCAAAGGAGCACTCTGTTCTCTCTGAGGTTTTCCTTTAAGGGTATGGCAAAGGAGCCTCTGTATTTTTTTCTCGCTGCTCAGCTGAAAGCTTTTGTATTTTAAAATTTTGGTGTTTCATATTTCCTTTTTCAGGACGAGATACCAACGTCTTGGTCTACATCAAAAGAAGGCTAGCAATGTGTGCCAGAAGACTCGGGAGGACCAGGGAAGCAGTGAAAATGATGAGAGATGTGAGTTTAAATTTGTGTTTGAACAGTAGCAATGTACCTGACTTAAAGAAGGAGGAGCCACCTGAATGGCCAGAGGAGCCATTGCATGGCTGCAGAGAGCAGCAGTGATGGCGCGGTGGTCCCATGGTTGCTGGAGCCAGCCAGTCGGAGTTGGCTCTGGCTCCCAGTGTATTAGGTGAATGACCTTGGGCCAGTGAGTCTACTGCTGTGTGCCTGTTTCCTCATCTGTGAAATGGGGATAGATAACAAGAACTTTAACAGTACTAATAACAAAAAAAAATTACTATTAAGGATTATTGTGAAGATTAAGTGAGATAAAACATGCAAAGCTTTCAGTAGAGTGACTGGCATCTTAAGGAAATTTCGGTAGGTGAGCTTATTATTAAACCTGTGGAGCTGTAGCCAGAAACCAAGAATGAGATCAGTTAGTTTAGCTAACCAACTTTTTTTGTGTATGTGGACAGTCAGGAAGATTTGAAAAACTATGGGTCTAATTAATTGCTACCCTCGAATTTAATAATATTATGATCTAATTTAATTGTAGTCATTTCAAGCATTCTCCTAGATTCTTGCATCAGGATATTTTATCACTAGTAGTCAACATAACAAAAGAGGAAGTAAGTGAGAGTTTTAAAACAAGAGAGAACCAAGACAGACTATTAATATGTAACTTTAAATCAAAACAGTAGTTTTAAGGGAAATCAGTAGAGGAACTTTTACTTCCACATTTTTTTTTTAATTAAGAAATACTTTTTCATAAAGAAGCTGACACCAATGTGAATTGTATTTATAAACTATTTTTTTTAAAAACAATTTCAGAAAACCTTTGCCAACACTTCATGCATGTACTGTCTTCCTCAATCAAGAGACATAGGTAACTGCCCATTATAAAAATGGAAGAACCAAGGGGCAAGATTAAAGTGACATCTTGCCTGGTTCTCAGCTTTCGGGTTTGGGAACAGGACTGTGTAAACCTCTAGTGAGCCACTTCTCAGTTTATCTTTGGAAGGGCAGTTATTCATACAAATTCCCAGTTACTCTGTTATTCAGGGCCTGCACTCCATCCAGGCCCACCCCTAATTATTTCTGCAAGTTACAGCCTAATGTAAAGGTGAGATCCGTGTTTGGGTCCGACTACTCAATTAAACAGTGGTGTAGCTCCCAGATCTGAGGAGAGGACAAGAGGAGGGGGATTCCAAGATAATTCTATTTGATTCAAGATGATACATGCTCTGTGGGCAAAGCCACTGTAAAGGGGATGTCCCAGGATTAAATTCTTTTGGTTGAGGGGAGAATTTAAAGAATGTTTGTCATACAGTGTAAGTGCTAATTTTTACAAAAGGAGAGTTCTGTAGAGACATGAACTTGCTCTCTAAGCTTTTTAACTTGCAGAAATTCCATCTTTTGATACAGTGAAGAAACTCTGCCAGTCCCTTTGTCTCTGAAAGAGCTGAGAATTTTATGAAGGATGGGATATTTATCTTAAACTGGCCCAGCCACATTCAGCCTTTAACAAGGTGTTTTAAATTTATTGCCTTTCTCTAACCTTAGGTAGGCCGGAACAGGCATGTATGGAGGAGCAGATTTGGGTGATTTTCTTTATTATGTGCTTAAGCAACTTCATAGGAAAAACAAACGGGGGGGGTAATTTCAATTCCATTTTTTTCTGTCAGTTTCATTCTGATTATCATCAGTTTTAGTATATGTGTATACAGTTTCGTATGATTGAAACCAATACATTCATGCTATGGTTTGACTTTTGCTTAACTTTATTTCATATTTACAATTCCATTTATTGACTTAGTCCAAATGTAGATCTTGGGGGAAAATCTGGAATGCAGTGGAATGAATGCTGGGCAGAGAGTAAGAAAACCTAGATGTGAATGTCAGCTTTGCTCTTCACTAGCTCTGTGACCCAGGGCAACTTTCTTTATGGGCTTTTCATTTGTCTTCTGTAAATTGTGGTTAGTGATTCTTACCTAAAAGGGTAATTGATGGAGCACTGGGGAGAATGAAATAAGATAATATAAAAACACCTGGCACATGGTAGACACGCTCACATTTTTTCCCCCATTTTTTCTCTATTATGCAAGTATGATATAATTTGCTTGACCATTCCCCTGATGGACATTTTGAGACATTTCTGATGTTTTTTTTTTTCTTGAATGAATCAGTTAGTAAGTCAAGCAATCTTTCCTATTACATATGTACACACACACACACACACACACACACACACAGATATATATGTGTGTGTATCTGAATGTATACATGTGTTTCTTGGGTTACTTTCCTTAAAGAATTCTGTTTTATTATTGGAATACCAATACGGTTACCTTTTGGCTGTGTATATAGAGCCTCTAGTAGATATGGGCCCTACTCTTGTAACAGTCCTGTGAGGGACACTGTCAGACATTGTGGAGATGTGTTTTGAAGAGAAATATTCGTAGTGTTCTTTCCTTCACAAACTCCTGGCATCCAAATGGAGGATGGAGGTTGAGGACCCCTGTGTTTGTTAAAGCTGCAGCTGGCCTCAGCCTTGTGGGAACAGTTGATGGTCAGACCTGACTCCTCTCAGGTCAGGGTCATATATAAATGCGAACCTCACTGAAGGGTTTACTCCTTTAACAACATGCACATAAACCATCTTGCTGCAAAAGTTCCTCTGATAAAACAGCACACTGGATTCTAGGCAGCCTGCTGATAAAACACTGAGGCAGGAGGATCTAATTTCTTACGAATACACAGCAATCCTACCCCATATATGTTGGTTGAAACTTTCTTAGAGCAGATTTTATTTTATTATTTTTTTTTAAATTTTTTTTTCAACGTTTATTTATTTTTGGGACAGAGAGAGACAGAGCATGAACAGGGGAGGGGCAGAGAGAGAGGGAGACACAGAATCGGAAACAGGCTCCAGGCTCTGAGCCATCAGCCCAGAGCCCGACGCGGGGCTCGAACTCACGGACTGCGAGATCGTGACCTGGCTGAAGTCGGACGCTTAACCGACTGCGCCACCCAGGCGCCCCTCTTAGAGCAGATTTTAAAATGGAAATAGAAATGGTAGAGTCAGAATGCTTTCCATGTAGAAAGTAGACACTTCAAAACAATTCTCTGGAAACCCCTTAAAGGAAGGAAAAACTGTTAATTGATGAGATAGCCTAAAAAAAGAATGGGAATTCCGGGAAGGACAACTGTGGATGATTATGGATCTAGTAAAATACTGATACTATAAGTGAAATATTGATGAGGTATGAACACCTAAGCTCCTTAATGTGAAGATTCTTGGCTTCTCATTTAAAAAGCAACAAATCAATTATTTTGAATTCCTAGGATATCGTCTCAAAAAACTCACTTTAATTAGCTTCCTTTTATAGTCAAGAATATGGAAACATCTTATTGAAGGAATGCTTTGCAGTAGGTAGAACTAAGAAAGCATGCTGACTTTTGAATTTTACTATATGGTATTATTTATCCAAAATGAAAAGGGTTACATTTTCTGCTTTCTTAAATTTAAAGAAAAGCCTTTTTGCTTGTTCTTATTTTAAAATTGCTTCTCTAACATCTGATATAGGACACAGTTTTTTCTTTTTAACTTTTACCATTTAGTTAACCTCAAGGATTTTTTTTTTTTTTTCCTAGCTTTTCCTGGCCCTATTTGAGTAGATTTGGAATAGAAGTCATAAGGCTAACTGTTTGGTTTGGCCCTGTAGCCATACCCGGTCAGAACTGTTGTAGATGAACTGGTACGGATGGGATTCCTTGCCCATATGAAAGAACCCAAGAGCTCCTCTTGCCCCAGGTCATTTGGTCTAGACTCGAGTCTCTCAGTCTCAGTACAGTTGGCATTTTGGGCCATGTAAGTCTTTGTAGTGGGTGGCCTATGCATTGTAGGATACTTAATAGCATCCCTGCCCTCTACCCACAGATACCAGTAGCAACCTGTCCCTTTGTTGCTCCCCAGTGTGACAACCAAAAATGTTTCTAGATATCTCCTGGGGGACAAAATCATTCCTCACTAAAAACCATTGACCTGAAGAATCCTAAAGAGAGTAGATCTGTTTTGGGGTAGACATTGAATATTTATTCGGTCTTGTTAGTAGTCTGAGCTTCCACTACTGTGAGCACAGTGCTCTGTGGCATCCCCAGAGTTGATCAGTTTCTTGGACCAAGCTGATTTGGGAGGTTGTTTGTCTTATATGGGATTCCCTGAAGAGATACCCTGGGACATGAAGACTAAATGAACTTGAAGGTTTTGGTGGGGTCTTGGTTGGAGTGATGAGAAAGAGAGGAGAATGTGAAGTCCTGATGTGGGGCAGTGGTCTTCCTTGGTCCTTGTGCATGCTTCCAGATCACTGTCTGCCTCTCTGCCCTAAAACCTAGAGCTCCTTTGAAAGTTGACCATATGCTCGCAGACTTTATCACCTGTTTCCCCTCTTTTTTGTAGTTTTCTGCAGATCTTCACATCATTCTCCCTCATTCTAGTTTCACTCTTTCTCTCTGAACACTACCTCTTTCAATATCCTGGTCTTTCTCTTGACACAGGTCATCACAACTTCCTTGAAACATTTTATTTACTTGATTTTAGGAGACCATGCTTTCTTAGTTCTAAAATGTCACAGTCTGTAAGAAAGTATCACAAGCTAAGTGGCTTAAACAACAGAAATGTATTCTGTTACAGTTGTGGAGACCAGAAGTCTGAAATCCAGGTGTGGGTAGGGCCATACTCCCTCTGAAGGCTCTAGGAAAGAGTTCTTTCTTGCTGGCCATCACTCCAATCTCTGCCTCTGCCTTCACGTGACATTCTTTCTCCCTGTGTATGTCTTTGCAGTCAAATTTCCATCTTTTTGTAAAGGACACCAATCATGTTGGATTTAGAACTGGATTTATGACCTCATCTTAACTTGATTACATCCACAAAGACCCAATTTCCGAAACATTCACAGGAGTCAGGGGTTAGGACTTCAGAATTTCTTTTTGGAGGACATTGTTCAATCCAC